ACTTGGACGTCTGGGGCCCCTTCCCGGTCCTTGGACCACGTCAGGAGCGCTACTTCCTGATTGTGGTGGACGACTATTCCCGCTACACCACGGTTTTCCCCTTGCAACGGAAGGCCGACGTGCCTACCGTCCTCGAGCCGTGGCTACTAGCGTGGGGTGGTGCCCAGGGTCTGTGTCGGCTTCGCCTACACTCGGATCGTGGTGGTGAGTTTTCTTTCACTTGTTTGGAGACGTTCTGTCAGGGTCGGGGAGTCATTCAGTCATACACGCTACCAGCCTCGCCGCAACAGAACGGGGTAGCCGAGCGTCGCATCGGCCTGGTCATGGAGGTTGCCCGGACCTCCATGTGCCATGCCGGTGCCCCTCAGTTCTTGTGGCCTCAGGCGGTCCGCTACGCTGCGCACCAGCTGAACCTGTGGCCCAGTGACGCACGGCCACGGGTGACGCCGGTCTCTCTCTGGTCAGGTTTACAGGGTGTAGCAGCTGACTTCCGCATCTAGGGTTGTCTGGCTCACGTTCGCGCCCCTGGCGCGAACAAGTTGTCTCCGTGCACTCGTGCCTGTGTCTTTCTTTGCTTCCCTTTGGACGCCTCCGGCTGGGTGTTCTACGACCCGGTCACCTGCGGGTTCTTCGCTTCTCAGGACGTCACGTTCGACGAGTCTGTCTGTTACTACAGGAGTCGCCCCCACCAAGGTACTGAGGTCTTTTCCCCCCCGCTGTTCCTCACCCTTGAGCCTCCCCCAGTCGCCCCGGTAGCCCCCCCCCCTTCGCGTCCTGCTCCGTCAGGTGTGTCGCACGTCACTCCGCAGTCGTCCCCCCCGCAGCGTCCAGTCCCTGTCGTGTCTGGGGGTGCGGAAGGTGCAGTTGCTCAGGGTGAGGGTACTGGGGCTGTAGGAGCTGGTGGTATCGGTTCTGGGGGTGCAGGGGTTGTGGGCGTGGAGGTCAATCCTGTGGAGGACACGGCAGCCTCGAGTCGGCGGCCTCGCCCCGCCTCACCCCCTGGCTTCCCGTCCGTCCCGCAGTTTCCTCCTCGTCCTTCTCTGCCGCCGGTTGCTGCGGAGCCTGGGGGTGTTCCTGCGGGAGGTACTGGAGGCCCCGGGGGTGTCGGTGTTGGAGGTGCTGGTTTTGGGGGCGCTGGAGCTGGAGCCACTGGCACTGTGGCACCTACACCGCGCACTGTACGTTTCCTGACCCGTGAGCAGCGTCTCCTTCGGTTGGAGAGGGAGGAGCGTGAGCAGTTTGAGAGGGCACAGTAGCAGCAGCAGCAGCAGCAGCAGCAGCAGCAGGAGAGAGTAGAGGGGGAGTCACAGCCGCAGCAGGAGAGTGTAGAGGAGGAGTCACGGCCGCACCAGGAGAGGGTAGAGCAAGAGTCCCGCCCGCAGCATCAGGTGCAGTTACAGACACAGCAGGAGAGAGTAGAGGAGCAGTCCCGGCCGCACCAGGAGAGGGTAGAGCAGGAGTCCCACTCGCAGCAACAGGTGCATTTACAGACCCAGCAGGAGAGAGTAGAGGAGGATTCACGGCCGCAACAGGAGAGGGTAGTGCAGGAGTCCCGGTCGCAGCAGCGGGTGCAGCTGCAGTTGCAGCAGGAGAGGGCAGAGGCGGAGCCACAGGAGCAGCAGCAGGGGCCGGTACCGTCGCAGCAGACGCCAGAGGAGGCGGAGCAGCAGCGACTGTGACTACGCGACCTCCCCGACCCAGCACCTGCACGCTTTGTTCGTGGTCCCCTACCGTCCCCGCCTGTTCCCCCTGTTGAGTCCCTTTCCTCGTCCCAGTGGACTCGTCGTTCTCCCCTCAGTCGTGCTGTGTCCCCAGAGCGTCGTCGGTCTCGTTACCGTGCAGACGGTCCGTTCCACCTTGTTCTTCGCTCGCGTGTTCCACCTCCTCCTGTCCTTCCACAGCCCCCTGAGTCGTCCCTCACTGTGCTTCACGACCCGTTGTCCGACTACCTCCGTGCCTCCCATCCTGTGGTCTCCCGTGTTTTGTCCGCGTTGGTCACTGACCCGACTGCACCTCTGTCGTCTGTCTCAGCTCTTGTTACCACTGTCGCTGGCTTTGCCTCTTCCCACCGCCTTGACTACGCTGCTCACGTGGTGAGTGGCCCTGCTCGTTCTCCGTTCTCTGGGGGTGCTCCTGTCTTTCCCCTAGAGGTCCTCGAGGACAGGCAGTTCGAGCTTGGTTTCCTTGCGGCCGCTGTTCCTCATCTCTGCGCCATGCTACTTGCCCCTGAGGGGGATCCAGACGCCCTTGACATCCCGATCCCTCGCACTCATGCCGAGGCGATCTCGGGACCCTGGGCTTCGTACTGGATAGCAGTTGAGGAGGCAGAGATGGCATCTTATAGGTCCACAGGCACTTACGTCGACGCAGTCCCACCACCTGGGACGAACGTCGTCAGTGGCCGATGGCTCTACAAGGTGAAGCGGCCGCCTGGATCACCACCTGTGTTCAAGGTGAGCTATGTGGCGAGAGGCTTCAGTCAGCGAGAGGGGGTGGACTTCTTCCAGACCTTCGCTCCCACGCCGAAGATGAGTACCCTTCGGGTGTTGCTGCATATTGCAGCCCAGCGCGACTACGAGTTGCACTCCTTGGACTTTTCCACCGCATTCCTTCAGGGGAGCCTGCACGAGCAGATCTGGCTGCGTCGCCCGCCTGGCTTCACTGGCTCTTTCCCACCTGGGACCCAGTGGCAGCTGCGTCGACCAGTCTACGGCCTACGTCAGGCTCCACGTGAGTGGCACGACACACTTCGTTCGACCCTTACAGCTCTTGACTTCTTCCCGTTGTCTGCTGACCCGTCACTGTTCGTTCGCCGTGGCTCGACCCCGTTCTTTGTCCTGGTCTATGTCGACGACCTGGTGTTCGCCACTCCCGACCGACGCGCGCTGGCCTCCGTGAAGGAGGAACTGCTGAGGAGAAGCACTTGCACTGACCTTGGTGAGCTGCAGCACTACCTTGGCTTGCAGATCACCAGGGACAGGGCAGCTCGCACCATTACGCTGACTCAGTCGCATATGGTCGAGCAGATCCTCAAGCGGTTTCGCTTCCCGTTCTCCAAGGTACAGCTCACCCCTCTTGGTGTGGATCATGGGCTCACGGCTCCACCTTCGGACGAGCCATTTGAGTCCAGCGGTCCATATCCTGAGCTGGTGGGCTGTCTCATGTACCTGATGACCTGCACTCGCCCAGACCTAGCTTACCCTCTTAGCGTCCTTGCGCGCTTTCTTGCGCCTGGGAGACACCGACCTTCCCACTGGTACGCGGCTAAGAGGGTGGCGAAGTATGTGGCGAGTACATCAGGCATGGGACTTGTCCTTGGAGGGAAGCAGCCAGTTACACTTACAGGTTACTCGGACTCGTCGTGGGCCGACGACGCGGAGACGCGTCGATCTACACAGGGGTACTCCTTTGGCCTCGGGGCAGGTGCTGTTTCGTGGCGGTCGACTCGGGCGTCGTCTGTCGCCGGTTCCAGCTGTGAGGCCGAGGTGTACGCCGCGGCCATGGCCGCTCAGGAGCTTCGCTGGCTGTCTTTCCTTCTCACCGACCTTGGTGAGCGGCCTCGCTCTCCCCCAGTCTTGTTCGCCAACAACAGGTCTGCTGTCCTGTTGTGTGAGGAGCCCCGACTGGTTGGGAAGGCGAAACACATCCAGCTTCGTTACTTCCTTCTGCGTGAGTTGCAGCAGCGTGGCCAGGCCCGCATGGTCCGTGTGGTCTCTGAGGCCAACACTGCAGATATCTTCACCAAGGCGTTGCCGCCTTGTGACCACCAGCGTTTCTGCACCCAGCTTGGCCTTGTGCCTGCCCGTCCTCACTTGCTTACGTAGAGATGCCTTGTCCTGCATGTCTTGTACTCTTGCATCTATATATATTTGCTATATGCCTGCATGTGGACTGGCCTTGTGGCCCCTTGCTTGTTCTCGGAGTGTGTGGTGACTTTGAGCTCCACCCTGAGATTTGTCTTGTTCTTGTGGACTGGTCTTGTGACCGTTGCTTTCTCTTGTTGTTCTACAGGACTACCGTCACCTAGACTATGGGGGTGTGTCAAACTATATTTCTATAGCTTGTGTAGTTCTAGTCTAGGTGTTCTCCCTTGTGTTATTTTTGTACTTGCACTAGGGTTAGGTTTTGCATATATCTTGTTTGTACTTTCTGTTTTTAGTTAACTTTTACATTGTGACACTACACCACAGCTTTGGCTGCACAGGAGTTACGCTGGCTCACCTACCTGCTGACCGACGTGGGAGAGCGGCCTCGTTCTCCTCCAGTGCTGTACGTCGACAACAAGGCCGCCATTGCCTTTTGTCAGGAGCACAGACTGGAGCACAGAACGAAGCACATCGCTCTGCGTTACTTCCTGGCTCGAGAGTTGCAGCAGCGTGGTCAGCTTCGTCTTGCTCACGTGACCACTCGGGCCAACACTGCTGATATATTCACCAAGGCACTTCCGTCTGGTGATCATCAGCGTTTCTGCACTTTGTTAGGCCTTGTGCCCACGTTTCCTCACTTGCTGTAGACTTTTCTTGTACTGTGATCTACATATATATACCTGCATGCTTACTCTTGCTAGGTAGTGATCACTGTACTGCTGTTGTTGCATATATACCTCTGCATGTGAACTGGCCTTGTGGCCCTCTGCTTGTGCTCGGTGTGTGTGGTGACGTTGTGATCCACCCCGAGCTTGCTTTGCCTTTCTTGACAGGTTTTGTGACCCCTTGTTCTCCCCCACTTTGCCTATGGGGGTGTGTCAAACTATATGTCTATGTCATAATAAAATGTAGGCTTTAGTGGGGTAGCTAATGTAGGGTATAGGTTTTGTTACTTGTACCCAACTTTCTCGATAGTGCAATTACCTTTCCCTTTACTCTCGACAGATAGGTCACAGAAGGACTGTGGAAGGTTGTCTTTCAAGCAGCAGCCCGTCAGCTCCAGCCACTCCAAGGCTGCCAGCTGGCCCAGGTCTTCTAGAAGGGACATGTGGCTAGGGGAGCCGCTGTGGTACTCTAGGTGAAGCGTGCGGAGGGCGTGCAGACGCGCCAAGGAGGGCGGGGGGACGGAACGTGCATGTTGCGGAGGTGGAGGTTTGTGAGGGAGGTGAGATTCGAGAGAAAGGAAGGCAGCACGCGCTGTAAGTATTCCGATGTCGTGCTGCCGCTGTAGTGCAGTTTCAGCGAGTGCAGGCACGGGGCGAGGCGGGAGAGGGAGAGCGGCAGGCAGAGCCATGTGCCACGCAGGGAGAGCCAGCGGAGGTTGGTGACATGACCAAGGGAAGAGGGCAGGTGGGAAGAGGAGGTGAGGCAGTCGATGGAGAGGTGTGTGAGGGAGAGCAGCGAGCACAGACGCGTGGAGAGCGTGCCGCCGAGCCTGCCGTTCCCGGGAGTGCCCATGCAGATGATAAGATGCTTCAGAGACGGGCCGAGTGCTGATTGGTCGGCGTACCGCCTGCCGCACCTGCTGCGGCTGCGGCTGTGGCTGCTGCGGGGGCGGTAGCAGAGGGATGATCATGATTCAGCGCCACATGTCCCAGGAGCGCAGTTAGCTCCCTCACATCCTCCCTCGTGGTCACCTCGTGGTTTGCTTCCACCCACGACACGTACCCCGCTTTCACGTGCGCCAGCGACGGCAGTGCGAAGAGCGCGGCGGGAAAGCGCTCCTCGTGGTCGACGCTTGACACCTCGAGCCGCTCCGAAGACACCAGATGGCTTAGCGGGCCGAGAGACACTTCGAAGTTGAGATAGGTGAGAGTGAGATGGCGTAATGCTGACGCGGAGGGCAGGTTGGGTGGGAGGGAGTGGAGGTCCAAGCATGCGCTGATGGTGAGATGCGTGAGCGAGTGCATGGACGCGAGTTGGAAGGTGCGCATGTCTTCGCACGAATACAGAGTGACCTGCTCGAGATTCGCCTATTGTTCGCATGCGTCTGGTAACGCGCCGTCGAAGTTTCGCAGCTCCAGTCGCCGCATCTGCTGCAGCGCGGCGAAGCGAGGCGGGAACTGGTCGACGTGCCACGAGCCGTCGACGTGGAGAGAGGTGAGCGAGGAGAGATCGCCGAGCGAGTCCGGCAGGCGCCGCATTTCCGTGCAGTCCGTAAACGAAAGGTGCTCCAGCCTCGTTAGCCGGCCGAAAGTTTCGGGCAGCTGCTGCAGCAACGGGCAGTTTAGATGAAGTTCCTGCAGGGCAGACATGCAGCACATTTCGGCGGGCAACGAGCGGAGAACCTTGGAGCATAGGCGGAACACGCGCAGCGACGACAGCGACGCGACGGAAGCAGGAAGCTTCGTTGTGTGGCCGAGACACTCACGCAGCGAGAGCTCTTGCAGGCGCGACGGCGCGACGCGGAAGAATTTATCGACAGCCCTCGTGCTGATTCGAAAGTGCGGCGATCCGGTGAAGCGTGGGGAGCCGATGCTCACACGGGCGAGCTGAGGGCGCGCGGAAAGCAGGCCAGACAGGAACTCGTCGTTGTAAAAATCGACGGTGTTCGCCTCCAGGAAAAGCGCCGTGATGCTCAGCGCGAGCGCCAACGCGCGGAAGAGCCCCGGCGCGGAGATCGCGGGGGCGGAGGGAGTCATGGCGAGCCGCTCGGTATTGCGGAGCTCGCACTCGGAGCGTGAGTTAAAACCGCCATGGACGCGCAGGGTGGTCATTAGAAGCATCCATCGCTTACAAACGACAGCGAGGTTGCTACGATCGGGGCCGTCCGTAAACCTCGGCTCGCCGGTCTGGCCGATATCCGCGGCGTCAGCTGCTGCTGTCAATTCTGCGAGGCTGGCGGCAGTGGCGGCAGTGGCGGCGGTGGCGGTGGTGGCGGCGGAGGCAAGTGAGACAATTTTGAAAAGAAGATCGTCTGGCAGATGGTTAATCGATGTGGCGCGCGCCCTGTTGGCCATTGAGAGGGCAAACAGCTCACCCCTTCGCGCTCGAGAGGTATAGACGTTCACCCTTGCTACTCCTGAATCTCTAATACGAACAAAAATTTGCCGCTAAGGTTTGGTGATAAGGGCATTGCCCTTATGTGAGTCACCACAGCAATGTTTCCCACATAAGGGCGCTGTTCTGTAGGCGTTATTGCCTCCACACTTGTCCTTCCTTGTAGCTTCTGGCCGCACCAAATGCCTCTCAACTTGCTGAGGGGTGTTGCCACGAAGCTCGCTCAAGGCGCTGTTCTACAGGCGTTAAATTGCCAGAAACTGGGTCCGCAGAATCTTCCCGCGCTTCTGCCTATCAAGGTTTGGTGATAAGCGCGGTCCTGCCAAACCTTTTTGCGCCAAATTTAACGCTTCAACCTGCAGAACGCCACTTTTGGGGCACACAAATTTAACGAGATGAAGGTTTCACGGTGTTGCATCTCCAGGCAAATGTCCGCATAACTTGTGCGCTGCCAATTCGGCCTTGAGAGCTAGCATCAGCCAGCGCACAATGGAGGGCAGCAATTTGTGAGATTCGAGATTTGGTCATAGCCACGCACCACCCAGCGCGCTTTAAAGCGCTCGATCGTTCCGTCTGCTGTGGTCTTCATGTGGAAGACCCATTTCCCCGAGAGAACTCTTGCACCCTTGATTGCTGCGCGGTCGACTAATACCCAGGCTGGATTCGAGGGCTTTGATCTCCGCGTCCATCGCTTCGCGCCACTCCTTGCTGTGTGGTCCAGTGAGGGCTTGGCGCGGGTTTCGTGGCTCGATGACACGTGGCGCCTTAGAGGTTGCAGTGTGAAGCCCGAGCAGCTGTAATCCTGAGACAGTGTTGTCGTGGCGACGTTGCGGGACGACTTCCTGCACGTCGTCGTCATCGCTTTCTGGTTCAGGTGGCGCTGGTGGTGCTGCGCCTCTGCCGCTTCCGCCTGTTCCGCCCATTCCTCCTCCAGATGAATCGTCGCCGCTGTCGTCGTTGTGGCGATCTCCCCATGTGAACTCGCCCCTGGTGTCCTGCTCCAGGATTGCTGCCACAGCTTCGTCCTCGGGCGTTGCGTAGCTGTGCCCATCGTTTGCGTAAACGCGGTTTGCATTCGTCTGCTCGTCGTGGCGGAACTGGTCGAGGAAGAGTTGCTCGTAGAAGATTACGCCGCGAGCGTGGGCAGTCTTCTGACTGAGTAGGTCCAGCACGATCCACGCCTTGTACTCGTGAATGATGCCTAGGTGAATGCCCCATCTCGCACGACTGGCGAATTTCCCGATGGTCGATGTCGGCGGGCGGTATTGCACCATACACCCCCATACGCGGAGCATGGACGTGTCCCCCTTAGTCCCGGTCCATTTCACGTGCGGGGACAAGTTGCCGGTGATGGCGGTGGTTGACAGCAGGTTGTGCACCCGCACGGCGTGGTGCATCGCGTAGGTCCAGTAGGTCGGTGGCAGCTTCGACTGCTTCATCAGCGCCCGTACCTTCGTCATGAGCGTGCGGTTCGCCCGCTCGGCTACGCCCTGCTGCTGATGTGCGTAGGGGAGAGAGATGTGGTGCTCAATCCCCTTTTGCGAGAGGTAATCTTGCATCTGCTTGCTCCTGAATTCTGCAGCGCCGTCAGATTGCCAGATCTTCAGTTTCTTCCCGGACTGCCGCTTCGCGTGTGCTAGCCAGAGGCGGAATACCTCGTAGGCTCTGTCGCATGACTCCACGTTTGCGACCCACACGTGGCGTGTTCCAGCGTCGATGAAGGTAAGCGTGTACATTTCGTCGTCAACTCCGCAGTGCCCCACGTTCAAGAAATCGCTGTACACCTTGTACAGCTTGGGGTAGCGGTTCGTCCCTGGCTCGAGCAGCGGGAACGGCTGGTGGTTTAGTGCGGCTTCGGGGCAGACGGTGCAGTTGCGCAGATGTGTCGCGCCTCTCACTTCAGTACCATCTGGGCGCAGGAGCGCTCCAGGAGCGAAGACGCCTGCGTCGATGCAGTTTTTCAGCGTCGCGCGTGAAGGATGTCCAAGACGCTAGTGCCAGAGTGCATCGTCAGCGCGAAAGCGGGAGGTGCGCATGTAGCGCGCGCGAGCTTCTTCGGGATCTTCGTCAGGTACAGGGGCAGGTTCTGCTGCTACCTCTTCTGCTGCTTCTTCTTCGTCGTTGGCGGTGGTCATTATTAGCGCCAAAAACTCTCTGTAGCGGATTTCGGAGAGGGGAATATTGGTCCCAGGGATGGTTCCGGGGACAAAGGTGGGTTCACGTGGTTCAGGTGCAGGTCCGTAGACGGTGCGACGTGGGGTCGACGGCTCGTTGCCCTAGTCGACGGTGTCCCAGGGATTGCGATGCGGTGGGTTGTCAGGAGGGGGTAATGCGAGTGGAACGTGGCGTGGTGGACGACCAAGGGGAACAGCTGCAGGAGCATCTGCTTCTTCTTCTCCCCCCTTTTGTTCTTCGCGGGAAGTTCCCCAGCCGCTGTTGTCGGTGCTAGTTGCGGCGCCCCATCCACCGCGTGCGTTGGCCCAGGTTCCGCCGCTGTTTCCCCAACCACCGGTGTCGCTCGTTCCCCATCCGCCAGCGCTTCCCCACCCCCCTTCATTGGAGGCACTTTCTTCCGCTTCGGCTCCCCACGCGCCGCATGCGAACGTTCCGCGTGCTTCGGCGAGACTTTGTTGGCGAAGCTCTTCAGCTTCGCGGCGCGCCAGTTCTTCTTCCTGCTCCACGGTGAGTCTCTTCGACGGGTCGCGTCGATGAGAGTAAATTTCCAAAAATATTTCGTGGGTGTAGGGTCGCGGCACGCCATGCGCATCAAAGGTTCCGATGCCAGTGCCGCGCAGCATTCCTTGCAGGTGTTGGGAGGGGGGTCCGATGAGAGGTTGTTCTGGCGTGCCGAACACGCCCCGCGTGGTGACTTCAAGCTCTAGTTGTGACATTCCTTCCTCTGGCGGCGCGTGGCGCTCGGCTTCGGCGATGGCGGCGAGTCCGCGGCCGGCGATTGCGCTAGTTGATGCTGTTGGTGTGTGGCAGTCTCTGCAGATGCCGTCTGGGTCAGGATCGTGTGGCGCTGTTTTGCGTGGGTGGGGATGATGCGGCACCCACGGTCTGCCATCAGGGTGCTTCCAGTCCCTGCGGTGGATATGCTCGAAGCGCAGTGGCACGAGATCGATTAGCTCGTGCAAGTCACCGCTGCAGTCGAGGATGTCGAAGTCCAGGACATACACTCCATTTTTGGAGTGTGCTCGTCCGATCTGCCTGCGGGGGAAAGTCCTTGATTCGTAGTGCAGCAGGATGTCGCGTGTTGTGCGATCCGTGCTGAGATCAACGCCGCAGTCCATGAGCTGTGCGGCGGAAAGCAAGTTGAAGCGTAGGTTCTGGACGATCAGCACATCGTTGAGCGTGATGTGCGTGCGGATTCCGCGTGCTTTGAGCACGACGATGCCTTGCGCGCTTGCGCGCAGGCGGGTGTTGTTAGCCACGGTGACGTAGGTGACTGTGGGGGTGGCGACGGCGTTGGATATGTAACGCTCGGAGCCCACCATATGCTGGCCGCAGCAGCTGTCCAGGTACCAGGTGTTATAGCGCTTGTTGTCGTCACGTGCGAGCAGCGCCAGTCGCGGCGTGACGATGTGCGGGGTGTCGAACTTCAGAAATTGCTCGCGCGAGAGCCAATCAAGTGGCGCCACCCGCATGTCAGGTACGTGCGGGGGACTTTCAAGCAGCGGGACTGGGAGGTTCCAATCCTGGTCGTCGTCGTCGGTGAAGTCGTGGCGCGGACTGAACGGGTTGTTGTTGGAGAACGCGCCAATGGGATGCGGTGCTGGCTCAGGTGAAGGTGAGCGCACGCGGCGACGACGCGACTCGCCCGTCATGGCCATGTTGCTCATGACGTTGCGTACGGGAGCAGTCGGTGATGGCTGCTGCTGCTGCTGATGCTGAACCGCTGGGTTCAGGTTGCGCGCGGGTGGGGGTTGATAGCCCTGGGCTGGACGCACGCCGCATCGTGCGTCTTGTCGGCTGGACCAGTTGCTCGGATTGGTCTGGCGAGGGCGAAATCGGTACTTGCATCGATCCGCCAAATGCCCGAAGTTTCTGCAGATCTTGCAGTAGAGGCGCCGCTTCTGTCGCTCTTCGTTGTTGTCGGCGTAGAAGGCGAGCCGTTCACGTTCTCGTCGTGGCGCTGGTCGCTGCTGGTCCATATCCCGTTGTTCGACGAGAAGGGCGGCGCAAAGGGCGGCCTCCGAGATGACTTCCTGCTGTCGGAGAAGCGCCTTGCAGGGCCGCCACTCTGGGCCGAGCCCTTGGAGCACGATGTTCACGAAGATTTCCTCCGAAATCGAACTTCCCAGCTTCGCGATTTGGTCGCGAAGGCTCCGACAGCGATTGATGTAGCTGTTGGCCTTCTCCCTTGAGGGCATTTTGGTCTCCAGTAATTGCTGGAGTAGCCGGCTCGAAGAGACTGAGTCCTTCGGCTGATACACATCGTTCAGGTGGCGCCAAGCGTCGAGGGCTGGAGCAGCCGATGTCTTGTACGAGCGGATGTTCAACTGCTCCGCCGGCGACATGTTACGCAGGAGGATTCCGTATGCCATCAGGGACTCGTTGTAATAGCGAGTCTTGGCGCCGTCGGTGTCCTCAGCAGGCTCCGCGTAGCTGCCGTCGAAGTAATGGAAGATTTGAGCGTTCT